TCTGTCATCTGACCCTGGCTCTATCCTAAATCTGTTCTACCCAGCCACACTTCTGAGGCCCAAAAATGGGCACAGTCATTTATAGAGGGTCGGACCAGCCCAATGCAATGGGAAGATGACCTCATTGGCGCCATGGCCTGGGCTACAGGCACCACTCTGCACCTGGCACTCTGGGAGTGGCTGAAGGCAGAAAGTAATCAGAGATGTGCCATGCTAGCAGGCCCGGGTGACCCTTCCAGCTCATTATTGTACCCAACTCATGCTGGGGCCAGAGGCTGCAGGGCCTACAACAATAAGAACCATGTCTCCCTGCTCCCAGCTGCATCTTAAGACTCGGTATGAAGAGGCACATGGGCACTTAACCAGAGAACGGCAAAGGTAGCTCACAATACAAACCAGCCTACCACAGACCTGCGTGAGGGCTCCAAGTCATGCCCGAAAATGCTGGTGGTGGACACAGGGAGCTGCCTCCTCTGCCTAGGAGTACCCAGATCGGGGCAAGAGGGCCAGCTGGGTGAATAGGTGAGTAGTAACAGATCAACGTGATCCAGGATTCCGTGGAGGAGCATACTGGAGCTGCAGGACAGAAGTAACTGGCTCAGTGCCACCTACAGGGCTCCACCGCACCAGCGGGCTTGACCCTACTGACACCGGGTGTCTCGGAAGATGTGTATGCTTTGTGAGGAAGAAGAGAAAATGACAGGGCAGTCCTTCCACCCAAACTCCTGCTTGTTGGTCAGCTAATGCATTCTCTGGGCACCGAGGAAGCTGACATAAATAGGGCAAGGTGGGTGCAATCCAGGGCATGCAAGTAAGGGACAGGGGCCCATGGGTGAAGTCAGCACAACTTGACCAAGGTAAATAATAAAGGCATGATTTTGCTAAACGCGATAACATATGCAATTTTGCAAAAAAAATGGTGAGAACAACCAAAAATATAAATATGGTAACAGAGGTTGTGGGAGAATGATAGGTCTTTCACTCCCAAAAAGAGTTACAGCCTCAGAAGCTCTATCCTACAGGATCACTACAGGTCAGCATCGATTGCTGGTAACTCGGTGGCCAGGCGGTTGGTTATGTAGGTAGATACAGATGTTTGTTGTGGTGAGGTGCTGTCACGGCCTAGCAACCTATGTATGCGTGGCATTACCCAGACCTGCGTCATCCTCACAAACACTGCTCTGTTGGGGTCCATTGTTGCAGCCCCTGGGTCAATCCGCTTCGCCAAAAGGCTTCCTCTTTCTCTAACCTTCTACTTTACCAAGCATGATGTCCTTCACGAGGGAGGGGCCCTTCCTTATAACAGTCCCAAAATAAGGAAGACAAAATCTTACCATCCTCACGTCGAAGGCACATTATGGCTATACGAATTTGTTTGTTCTCTTCAGCAACATCATAATTAAAGACATCAATTCTTCTTAGGTTTTCCTTATTCATTGCCTAGCAGGTATATGAAGTGATTGACAATACCACGGCTTGGGTTAAAACCAAAAATCCAACTCACTGCCATCAAGTGGATGCCGACTCACAGCAACCCTACAGGACAAGATAAAACTGCCCCTGTGATTTTTCCAAAACTGTAACTCTGTATAGGAATACAAAGCCCCATCTCTCTCCCTCGGAACAGGTGGTGGGTTCACACTGCTGACCACATGGTGAGCGGCCCAACGTGTAACCTTAATCTTCGAAGTGACATCTTTGCCTTTTAATCCTTTAAAGAAGGTTTCTGCAGAGGATTTTCCCAGTATAAAACATTTGATGTCTTGGCTGCTGCTTCCATAAGCATTAATTGTGCACTCAAGTAAAATAAAATCCTTGACAATTTCAATATTTTCTCTGGGTGGCATGATGTTGCTTATTGGTCCATTGGTGAGGATTCTTGTTTCCTACGTGTTGAGTTATAATCTGTACTGAAGGCTGTAGTCTTTGATCTTAATCAGTAAGAGCTTCAAATCCAATCCTGATGCGGTATGCTTCTTCATCTAGGCTAGCTTCTCAGATTATTCACTCAGCATTCAGAGAATAAATATGGTGAAACAATGCAACTCTGACACACACCTTTCCTGATTTAAACCACACACTGTCCCCTTCTTCTGTTCGAAAAACTGCCTTTGGTCCATGTAGATATTAACGCATACATGCCTATAGAAAGGCATATACAAGTAAATATGTATATAAACATGTATTTGTAAACACATGCATATCTACACATGTATGTATTATGTATTTGTACACACACACACACACATATATATATATATATACATATATATATATATATATATATATGCACAGAGAGCACAGTAATGGAAATTTTCAGACAACTTGATATATCAGGTTAAAAGACTTGATCCCATAGTCTCAAGGAACAACTTAGTCAATTGACATAACATAGTTCCAAAGATAATGTTCTACATCTTAGTTTGCTGAGTAACATGTGGAGAAAAAGAGAATGAAGAAAATTACAGGCTCAGAGAAGAAACGAATCCACAGAACAGCCCACACAAACCACACCCTCTCCAACTTGAGACCAGAAGATTTAGATGGTGCCCAGCTACTCCTACCAACCGTCTGACCAGAGAAACAACAGAAGGTCCTGGATCGAATGGGAGAAATAAATTAAAGTTCCCCAAAGGGACAGACGCATGGGACCAACCCTACACCATCACCCTATGATAACTTTTGAACTTGAAATGGAAGCTATTTCTGAAGGTGACTTTTCAGTCAAATAATAGGTTGGCTTATAAGATAAACAGTATCATTCATGCATAATGTGCTCCCTTAAACAATTAACTATATGAGGCACAATGGTCAATATTTACTGGAAAGTAAAGATAAGGCAAAGAGAGGAAGGGAAGCTAGAGCAATGGGAACAAAACAAAATGGGAAAAAAAGAATACGGACACATTATAACAATTGTAATAGCAAGAAACCATTTGTATAAAAATTATTAAGGGGAACCTATTTGCTGTGCACGCTTTCACTGAAAATGCAATAAAATAGTATTTTTTCTAAAAAGGCATAATTGCATGGACAATGCTCCAAGTTATATATGAGCAGGGAGCCTAGTTACTGGGTAAAGGGGAAAGGAGGCTATGAATTGGGAGGAGGATCCCACCTGGGGCAAAATGGGAGAAAATGGAGGAAAGGGAACCTTCCTGGAAGCAGCCAGGGGCCTCACGTAGGGCCAGACCTTGGTCAAAGCCAGCAGCTGTCAGTCCACTGTCCATGCACTAAAATGCAAGCCATTTACAAAGAGGTAACACAGCCCATGCCTCTGCCTCCAGAATGGCATTCAAGATGATGCTGCAGAGAAAAGGCAGCCAGGGCAAAGGAGACACAGGACATAAGTGTGCGGGGGCAGGGCACTTGTCTCCTGGGCCTCCCATTCATCTTCTTGGGCTTCCTCTGAGCCGCAGGAAGCCTCAGGCCTGCTCTAGGCACCAGCAAGAACTGCCCAGTCATGGGGGACCAGCACCAGCACCAGCACCACCACCCGGTCCCTCCTGCACCCAAGGGCTTCTTAGTCTTCCCAGTGCCTAGCTAGTTGCCCTTGGGGCCTCCAAGTCTTCCCTCTCTCCTGGAGAAACGAATTGGGGTGGACCAGATCTGAAGCTTGGCTAAGGGCCCTTCCTTCCTTCCACATGTTCTTATCTGGAGCCTCAAATGATGAGCAGCAGGACTCAGGGAGGCGCCAGGGAACGCTCCAGCCGCTGCAGCCGCAGCCCGGTCACCACAGCCGCCACCGCCACGCACCACCCACCACCCACTCCCCCACCACCACTACCGTCACGTGGCTGCATCCTCAGGGAGCCCTCAGGTCCCAGCTGGAAAAGTCGCTGTTTATAAACAGCCACAAAGCCTGGAACGTCAGCCAGTGCGGGGAGGGCGGGGGCGGTAGGGGGTGGGCGAGTGCCCCCCACCCCCACCCGCGCACAGGCGGGGAGTGGCAGGCCCCTCTGCGCAGCACTGGGGGTGGGGGGTGGGGGCACCCCGGCAGGAGCACCAGATCCTGCAATCTCAGATTTCAGAGTCAGAGCCAGAAGGGGAAGTGGCGTCAGCAGCTTGCTAGCGTAATCCAATTCATTAAACATAAGGTGACAGCGGAGAGAAAGGACAGGCGAGGACCCCCTAAACCCTGTCCCTTCGTTTCCTGAACTGTCCAGGTGCCCCAAGAAGCTCAGGGCTGTGCCCTCCGGCGTCGGCGCCCAGGGGTAGGGCTTCCAGAGGGTCGAGAGAGAGGCGAAGGGCAGCGATCCCGAGAGAAGCCCAAGGCACCCTCCACGCCCTTCCCCCACCAGCCGCCGGCTCTCAGCCCTGGGGGTGCGGGTTCCCAAGCCAGGGCCGCCACCCGGTCCACAGGCTCCAGCTAACCCGACGCCCTGGCTAGGGCGCTGACACCTCCCCGGGGCGCACGCAGCGCCCCCCTCTCCCGATCCAGGCCGGTCGGGGCTCCAGGCCGCCAACTCGGCTCGGGAGAGGAATCCGATCCCTTCTCGGGCAGGCCACGGGGAAGGAAGGGGGAGAAGCGGGCAGAGAGGAGTCGGCGGACGCCTCCGGTCCCCGGTAAAGTGGTCCAGACGGAGGAGCGGGGCTCCCCACGACCTCGCGCCGGGTCCGCCTGCTTCCCGCGTGGGCCTAGAGCACCGAGTCCCATCTCCGCTCCAGCCCACGGGCCTGGACCTCGCAGGGAGCGCGAGGCGAGACCCCCCCCACCCCACCCCCGCCCCCGCCGCCGGCAGGAAGAGCCCCCAGACCACTGACTGCCCCTTCTCGATGGAGGGGGCAGAAAGAAATGCAAGAGGACTGGGGCGAGAGGCGATGGGCAGCTGCACACGCTCTCCGGTCCTCGCAGGGAATGGCGAAGCGGAGGACATGGGCCAAAGAGGGTGCCCAGGGAGCCAGGGCGCAACCTGGGCGCGCCCCGTGGCCTTCTCCGCGGCTGTCCCGGGGCGGACCGGCCAGGAGGTTAGAGGGAGGAAAGGGTCCTGCCCGCTCACCTTCTCCTGCGCACGGGTGAGCTTCTTCTGCACGTTGCTGGCGATCTTCCCCGCCGTCACCCCCTTGCTGCCCAGCTCTGCCATCGCGACGCGGACCCGGCCCGGGGCGGGGAGACCTCACGCAGGAGAGCAGCGCGCGCCCCGCCGAGCCCCGCCG